GCTGCCCGTAGCGCACCGTGGCTGTGGGCTCGCCGTCGACGCCGTCCTCGCACACCCACTGCTTGAGGCACTCGTAGAAGTCGCCGACCTGGCCAGCCGTCCTGGAGGACCGGTACTCGCCGACGCCGGGAGTCGAACCCTCGGCGGCGGGCTGGCCGGCGAGGCTGGCCAGGCGGCACATGCGTCCCCATATGTCGCCGTCACTCAGCGTCGCCGCCGGGGAGGAGGCGAAGGCGGAGGGGTACGACGACGGGCCCGGGGCCGCGCGAGCCGCCGGTCCACCTTGGGCTGCGGCTGCACCGCCAGCACCGTATCCTGGGCCGTAGCCACAGCTGTCATACTGCGGCCGCTGGGCGCGCGGCTGCATCGCGCCGCACGCATCACCACCACCAGGCACTACACCATGTCGCGCACGACACGGACGCACACGCACGCACACACACACAGACACTCGCGGAGCGCGGCGACGAGTCACACACCACGGCGACGACGGCGCGCCGCGACACGTGGAGCCAGCCTGCCTCGCGGGGCCTAACTGAGTTGCCGAGCCGAGCAGCGCGGCGCAGGCAGGCCTGGGGCAGGCGGGCCGCGGCCACCAGGAAGCAGCCGAGCCGAGCCGAGCGGCCGAGCCCCTCCCGAAGACGCCCGAAGTGCAGCCGAAGAGCGGCGCGAGCGTCGGGGTCGGCCGTCGCCACGCAACGCGCAGCCGCGGCGCCCGCGGCCCTTCCCTCTCCCTCGCACACACTCCCTCCCTCTCTCTCCGCATGCCACAGCCTGCCAACATAACCCAGCCAACCCGCGTCACCGCGGTCCGTCAATCCGTCATGTGACCGCGGTCCGTCCGTCCGTCCGCTGGCCGTGATGACTTGTCAAGTTCACCGAGTCAACGCACTGCTGCCAACTCTAGCGCTCGCTTTGATCTCGATTGCCGACTGCTTCATCTGCTGCACGACACATTCCGGGTTTCCGGTTCCCCAAACCGGAAGGGGACGACCCGCGGCGCCACTCGCGGCGGCAGGACGGAGAACCACGAGGGGGCGAGCGCATCCACGTTCATTTCGGACCATTCGCCGCGCCGCCGTCCACCGATTCGACGCAAACGGCCGCGAAAATGGATCCGAAACGAGCATGACGTGTGGCTGGCGGGGGGAGGGGGAGGGAGGTCCACGACAGTGCAATCGATTAGCCACACCGTAAGACGCGGCCGGCCCACCTGGATGCTGCCGTCTGGGACCACGGGCAGGAGGAAGACGGCGTTGTGAGACGCGCGGCGCGGAGAGCGCCCGGCGGGTAGGCAACCGCGCGGCAGGCGAGCGCGGCGTGTTGCCTACCTGGTGGCCGTAAGGCGCCCCGCCAGCGACACCGTCGGACGGAGGGCGCCTGGGGGTTCACGGCCACGCCCAGGAAGGCCAGGGCACCGCTTTCCAAAGCGAAGCGCCAAGTGCCACCGAATGCCACTTCTCCTCGCCGAGGTCGGGCGGGTGTGGGTAAAAGTGAATGCAGCGTAAAAGTGATGAGCGCTGGTTCGGTGTGGTGCACGCCACCAGTGTGTGTATTGTAGCGGCTGCCGCTGGTGTAGCCACCACTCGCACACGCAATGGCCCGGCCGGTGTAGGTACCTTTCTCCCCGCGACGGGTACCTGAAAACGAGAAGCCCCCTCCGCACCGCACCACACCGCCACGCACGACCCAAATCACCATCCAAACGGTCCATTCCATTCCATCCCATCCCATTCGCTTTCGATCAAAGCGTGCCGCGGTCACGCCACTTGCTTTTGGTTTGGCGGCCGTCTTCGAATTTTGGCGCGGGAAAGGACAGCGCGGCCGTCATCCAGCCAGCAGGCCGTTCAGCCACGTCGCTTCGCTGCGTTTCTTGCGCGGCGCAATCCCGGTGCAGCAGCCGCACGGACACCACGACGACGACCGCCAAAAAAACGGACGGGGCGCCACTTTGCGAACCCAGTGTACTTGCGCCGTCGGCGACGTCGGCGTCAGGGTGTGCCGCTACGCGCTATCGCGGACATCGCCACTTCTTCATCTCCACCGGGCCCGCGTCGTGCGGCCCCCAGCCCCCAGCCCCCAGGCCCTGGCAGAAAGCACGGCGAGTCGTGGCGGCTAGTGCCAAGAGATGGCGGCGCTCCGCTGCCCCTGCGCTGCCCCTGCAGGGCCTGCAGATCCCCCTGTCTCCTGTCTCCCTGCGTCGCCTGGGGGGTCAGCAGTAACTCGGCGGCGGCACCTGCTCGCACACTGCAAAACGATCCTTGTCTCTCGCCAGCGCGGTGGCTGTTTCCAGTGTGGCGGGCCCGCCACCAGTTTCGGCGGTGCTACACTGTACAGCAGCAGACCGTCGACGCCGAGCCCATCCTGGCCGAGAGCACATGACTGCCCCTCCCCCCGCCCCGCGCGGCCTTGGACTCCGACGCCGTCACGCGCGCGCAACGTCAATCGCCGAGAATATGACGAGTCGCGCGGACATGTACCACGGCGACCTGGCCCTCTGTCTCTCTCGCACTCATGGGCTGCCCCGTGTGGGTGCGAGAGAGACAGAGCGGGTGCTGGGAATCAGCCTGCTGGCACCGCGCCGTCGACCATGGAGAGGCACGCCGAACACCTAAACCAACCCAGAGGCCCAAAGTTCCGGCAGCGACGACAAACGCGCATGCCTGCCTGCACGACGGCAGCACACTTGCACTCTAGTTGTTGTTGTTCTGCCGCAGCTGCGCAGTCCCGCCGTTACAAAGTAGCCGGACGGCGCCGACGGGCATTACCGGCGTAAACCACTTGACGCCCGCGGACCGCGGACCGCCGCGGCGGACGGGACGTCGTTTCCCAGAACGCCGCGCGTCGAGCAGCGCGGCGGGCAGGATGAGGAGGTGTATGTGCAGGGCTGGCGGCAGCCAGGAGCGCCCCTCCTGGGGCCTGGGGGTGGGCAAGCCAGATAGTCAACGCGGCACCCGGTGGGCTCGGGCCCCGCCCCGCTTCCCCCGCCGTTCGCCGTGCGTTGTTGTTGCGACAGACTTGGGCGTCGCCAGATGTCACGCCGCGACAACCCCATTCAGCACGGCCCCGCCAATCAGCGCACAGCATCAAGCTCGCTCTGTCTCTCTCGCACTCACGGGGCCCGTCTCGTACAGGTACGACTGAGAGAGAGGACTCTCGGAATCAGTCTGCAGGCAGGGCGATGCGGGGGGCCGTTGGCCTGTGGGGCGGCTGGGCCGGGACACCCGTTAACTTCTACTATTCTTACCGATGTCTCGCGACTGCCACTTGCGCGACAAGTTACGGCCCCCGCCCACACTGCCAAATGTGGTTTCGCGCCAAAAAACGTCGCGCCAAAAAGTGGTCGGAGGGAGGGAAATGGGCACGACTGGGCGTGGCCGGCCGGCACGAGGGGCGTGGCACTGTAAGTCCGAATCCGAACGACGGGGCGCGCCGTCACTCGTCTCTCTCGCACCCCTGCGGGCCAGCGGGCCGGGCCGGCCCGCGAGTGCGAGAGAGAGAGACGGCGCGGCGAAAGCTCGGCTTCGGTTCGGGGTGACTCTAATTGAGTCTTCCTGCGCGACGGTCACACGACAGGGCGGGGCTGCTAATGGAAGCAGGTACGCCCGGGTCAACCGCTCGAGTAACCTCCACCCACCGCGCTCTCGAAACAAAAATTGAAATTTTTAGCTTTTTTCGCATTCTTTTTGTCTGTTTTGCTTTTTTTTTGTTGGTACCGAAACGGATCGAAGAGACTGACTCCACTGCACCGGCATGCGGCAGACTGGCGAAGCACGGGGCGGGCCAGCCAGCGGCAGCCCTCTCCTCTCGCGTCGAACAATCGTCTTTTCAGACAAGCGCGCTGTACAAATATAGACTCAGCAGCGCGGGGGGATGGGCCGGCATGCCAGGATGGGGCCGGGGGAGGGGGAGGGTGCGCAAGGAGGGCGGCGGCGGGGTACTCGCCGAGAGAAAGGGGGTCTGTTTGCTTAGCGGCGCCCCGCACCCCGCTTGCTTACTCTCACTGGGATCGGCCGAAGTATTAGCGCAGGCTCGGTGCCCAAGGTCCGGCCCTTGGAGAGCTTGGCCAAGACGCTGACCACGCACGCGGACGCGGCGGGTCCGGGTTCGAGTCCCCACGCCGGCGCGGAGGTTTCCGCCGCTCATCCAGCCACAACGGGGGATGGAGATGGAGCAGTCCCACAGTGCAGGTGCCGCGGGGCGCCACCGGAGATACCCCGCGCGGGCGCGGCGCGCGGAGTAGCGGCGACGCATCGCCGGAAGCGGAGCGAAGCGCACGCGCTCACAGCGCGGGGTATCTGCGGACGCGCAATGCACGCCGGCCCCGACGCGGTGCGGTGCGGTGCGCTCGACGGGGTGGTGATGGCGGCCACCGATTTAGCCCGGCTCGAAAGGGCACCGGCGCCGCTGCGCCAGGACGCCGCGCAGCCCTTCTGCGAATACCGTCGGCCCTTCAAAGGACACTGACCCACCACAGCCCTGCGCCCCACGGGGGCCTGCGCGGCAAAAGGACACGCGGCGGCTGCTTTCGAGGACCGCGTCAAGGGCTGCCCTGGGTCAGTTCCTCGCCGCCCTTCAAGGGCTCTCGGCCAAGGGCTCGGCCAAGGGCCGGCCATCAGGAGCTGCTCCAGGGCGGCCCTTGCGGCGGCCCGAGGCGAGTCACGCCTAAAATAAGAGTGGCCGCCTTGGGAGGCGCTTGGAAGGCTTCCAAGGCTCCCGCTGGCGGCCTGGCGGCCTGGCGGCGAGGTGAAGCGAGGCGCTCACAGCTGACTGCCCTCAAGCTGCCCTGCCGCCGCGCGATTGGTCCTCCGTATATCGCCCGCTGGCACCATTCTGTCAGCGACAGGTCAGCCGAACGCACCGCACCCACGCCGCCGAACTGGCGAACTGGCACACTGGCACAGGTAGGGCTGCCCCGGTTCGGTCGGTCATCCCCGGGTGCAGTGCGCGCACGCAGTGGCACCCACGCCCTGGCAGCAGAAGAGCAGGCCCATACTCACGGAAGTAGTTGAGAGTTTCTCGGATCTGGTCCGGAGTGAGCGCGGTCTCGGCCGGTTTGAGCGCCGGGCTTGGAATGTACCAGTCTTGGTTTTCGTAGCCTGGAACAAACGAGGCCGTGAGACCGCGCGGGCGGGAGAGATACAGGCGGCAGCCACACACTGGGAACAGAGAGGCTCACCGGTAAACTGCGTTAACGTGTCGGCCCGGAGCCGGTACCGCGGGATCTGCTCGTGGAGGAGGCTGATGATCTCGACCTCTGGAAGGTCCTCGCTGCTGCACACGTCTGCCAACACAAACACAACACACGTTACAGTGGGGCCAACAGCATGCCAACGGCGCGGCACTCATGCACTTCCGGGCCGGTCGGCGAGAGCGCGCAGCGTTTCGAACCGCGGCACGCGGCGCACCAACCTAACGCGCCAAAAACAAAGTCAATCAAGTGCAAAAAAGGCGGCAAAAGCAAAAACCCAACACCCGCGAGAACAAAACAGGGGGAGTAAACGTTACAAAAAAGAAAAATCACTAGTATCACGCGTGCAAAACAAACACAACAAAACAAAAGAAACGGTCCATCACACCTGCCTTGGGGGAGAAAAAAAGTTAAAACAAAGATGGATCGCAAAACCGAGAGTGACCGCACAGGACGACAGGGCGCCCCGCTTGCTGCCAACCTGACGACCCTAACCGATTCGTCGCGTCAAGATAAACGTGGCTTTGACTCCAACAGGTGAGGCCGACGTGAGGGGAGAGGTTACGTCAAGACGTCCCGGTTGAGGACCGGGGAAGAGAGAGAGAGGCAAAGACGTTAGCGGGGGCTTGCGAACAGACACATTACCCCGCGTTAAAAGAAATCTACCGGCTAAACTACAACTAATCAAAGCTAGGTTTGTAAATAAAAGAAAAACGGAACGTGCAGTGCAAAACTACTGTTAAGAAGATAAATTTGAAAACAGGAAGTTAGGACAGGGTCATGCTATTAAGACAATCAGGAGATAAGGAAGGGGTGGATGGAGGGAGAGGGGTGGATGCATGATGCGTTAACTACAAACCTAAAAAAGCGGGCTACGTGCGGTCATGTGGGAGGAGCGAACAGCGAATGAATGAATGGGTGGGTGAATGAATGAATGGACGAATGAAGGGGCGTCACAACCTCTGCGTCTCGTCCCTCTAGGACTCGGTGGCAGCAAACGGGGCGTACCTGAGTCGCCTCCGGGCCCTCCGGGCCCTCCGGGCAGTCCTCGGGCCTCCGCGAGGTCGTCCGGGGTCGGGACGCCGGGGTCGCTGGGGCCGAGGCCGGGGTAGAACCGGCGGCCGTGCCGAGGCCGGGCGTGGGGCCGGTCCTTGGACCAGGGGAACATGGTCCTGGCGTCGTCCTCGGCGTGCTGGCCGCGCGGCCTCACATACTACACTAGCCTACTGCACCGCTGCAACACACGCACACACACTGCTGCAGGTTGGAGACGACCGCCGCCGCAGCACTGACGCCGACGCCGCGGGCGACGCTACGCCTGGCGACGCTACGCCTGGCGACGCGGCGCGCGAGGCAGCCAGGGCTTGGCCACGGCTTGGCCAGGGCCCCGCCGACTACACCACAACATCACACACCGCCTGCGCCAGGCCGCCAGCCCGCCAGCGAAGTCGACTCGCGGCGCGCGCGTCGCGCAGAGAAGAAGAAGAAGAGCCGGGGGAGGGGGAGGGGGTCCGCGCAACGCCGCGCCGGTCTGGGGGTCGTTCGCTGGGCCCCCGCCAGGACCTCCGTCCCCCAACCCTCCCCGAAGGGAAGCGCCCGCCGCCCCTGCGCTGCCCGCTGCCGGTGGTACTCGCATTCACACACAGATTTAACCACAGCGCCACCTGCTGCTAGCGCTGCCCGCCCGAGGCGCGGCTCGCGGGTTCGAACCCCGGCGGCGGCGGCGCGCCGAAATAGCCAGCCCCTGCAGTGCTGCAGGACGGGGCGGATATCGACAGGCAAGCGCCGACATGAAAAGGACTCGGTGATAGCGTGGCCTGGCCGGCCTGGCCTGTGGCAGTGTGGGAGTCGCGGATCCAAGGCAGTGGTTCGCCGCCAGGGCGTGGCACGGCGAGGCACGCGGTGGCACGCGGTGGCACGCCTCGGAGTACAGTGCACCAGCGGTGACGTCACCGCAGTGTGCTTTACCCACTCGAACGCCAGCAGGACCGCCCTAGGACCGCCAAAGAGAGAAAGCAGGCGCCAAGCCGTTCGGGAGGACCCTGCTGCACCAAGACACTAAACTAGACTTTTCGGAAAACGGCGAGGTTGGAAGTTGGGCGAGCGCTATCGCATCGGCGCTGTACATGGGACGAAGACGGGGCTGACGTCCACGGGACGCAGATAAAAGCACCCAAACGTTGCAGAACGGCGAGAGGTCGCTGTGCCTCTGCGCCGCCGGGGTTCGAAGGTTCGATAAGCGCCTCGCGTGGGAGGCGTAAGGACCGTATGCACCGACCCCCGAAACTGTCTCCCCCCCCCCTCTCTCTCTCTCTCTCTCGCACAGGAGAAACAGAGCGACCCGCCCCCATCCTTCATCGCGTTGAGATTGAACTTGGCCGGCCAAAGTTAAAATAGCCCGCCCCTCGGAAACACGCACCACTCCGCCCTCCTCGGCGTCGCGTCCCGGCGGCGACGGCGGCGTCCGGTGTCCGCGACGACGGTCGACATTGACTGGGAGCAGCTTGTTGAGCAGCTTGCCGCCGACGGGCCGACGTCGCCTGCACCGGCCAGCACTCCGCACCTGCGCGTCGACGCGGTCCACACTGCAAGTTGTCCGGGGCGCTCGGCACGTCGCTGCGGGTCGCGTGCGGACATGCCGCGCCAGACGCACGCCCCGACGAGGGGGACACTTTGCATCTATTTATTTACAGCCGCGTCTCTGTGGCACCGCGTCGCACCAGACGTGAGGGGAGCAAACTGCATTCGAGGGGGGGGGATTTCGGGGGCATCAAACTCGAAAACACGCGCCGGGGATTAAATCCCCCCGACATTTTCCAAGACGTTCGTCTGCCCGACGCGCACCCGAGATATTTCATCCAAGAGCGCAAGAGAGAGGCAGCACGACGCGCACAAAACCGTCATTTTTCGACTGCCGTCCGGCGGAGGCGTCCTTGGACGGTGATGGTCTGGCCGCTTCGAACGCGGACAGGCGGCGCCCGCTCCCATGGCCCGATTCCGTCTCTCTCGCATCACTCCGGGATGCGCCGTGGGTGCGAGAGGGACGGCGCGACTGCGAGGCCCCGCCAGGGCCCCGCCGCCATCATCGTCATCGCCGTCATCAACATCACGAGGCGGGATTGGTCCCCCCCCCTTCCCCCCCCCCCACGCGCGTCGCTGCGTCATTACGGCGTCCAAATGACCCGCCATCATCATCAAGCGTTGCCGGCGTCGCTGCGGTAGCGTCATCATCATTAGGCGGCCTGGGGGAGCGGACGGGGCGGGGCAGGGAGGGCGGCGAGGCGAGGCGGTGGAGGCTCCTTTTGTGGGGCCTGGACGAGGCTTCGCCGAGCTCGTGATGCCAGTCGTCAGCGCGCCCACCTCCGGGCACCTCGCCGTCGGCGTCCTCCAGCGTCCCGCGACCCCAGCGCCGCCGCCAACGGGCACCTCCAGGACTCACCGCCGTCGCCGCCGTGCAGGGCACGCCGCAGGTGAGGAGCAGCGAGCTGGCGACGCCGGGACCGCGGTCTCGGCGGTCTTGACCTTGTTGAGCTTTTCAAGTGGCGTCGCGCGTCAGACCACCGAGCCGAGGCTCGCCGCGCCTCCGACTCGCACTCCTCGGCCGGCCGGGCCGCAAGTTAGCGCGCCGCGACTGTGCAGCCCACTGTGCAGCGCCGGGCTCTCCCTCCAGCAGACGACGCGGACGCGACGGACAAGTGACGATCGCGACGCGGGAAGCGGACTCGTGTGACTCGTGTCCGGGCGCGAGGGCCGCGGCGCCCCGACTGCCTTCCCTCTCTCTCCCTCTCTCTGCCTCACGGCCTGGCGGCTCCAGGCTCCAGGCCCCAGGCTCCTGGCGGGGGCGGCGGCGATACACCAGGAAAAGGGGGAAAACAGAAAAGAAACAGAGAGGCGTGCGGCCGGACCCAAATTGGGCCGACTGTCACACACGTCGAAAACGTCGACGGCCGCCCGGGAAATTTCCCCTGCTCTCGCTGGGAATGAAGCGACGCAGGAAAAATAAATGACGAAAAGAAAAGTTTTTAAAGTGTTGCCGCCGGACGTTCGAGCCGGCCGCGTTAATTGCAGCAGGCGAACAGTGTCTGAGCAGCAGGCTGCGCTAGCCGGCGCTACCGCCCCTCGACTACTCCAAAGGACTGTAAATGCCGGGTGACATTGACGGGACCGTTAAAACATTTACAGCCACGTGCCCTGCAGTTAAAGCCCGGCCACTACACCCCCCGTCCAGCTGCCGCGGCGACCTAGAATAGTCACCATCACCAAAAGAGAGCGGGGATATTTGGAAAAATTAGAATTATGTGGGGCTAAGGGTCACCTTGAATAAAAATGCACAACGAATAACACAGTTTTCAAGCAGTTTTCTCAGCCTCTAAAAAATCTCTAAGAATACTACTCGTTTGAAATAATTTATTTCATGTAGGAAAGTACTGATCTAAATTTTTGGCTCAAAATAGAGGGAGAAAACTGCTTTTAGAAACATTACTTTTAAATAGCAGACTGCACTTGCGACGAGTGTAGCAGAGTAGCAGCCTCACGACGTACCTGTGAGAGTCGAGACCTCCCGCGAAAGGCGAGTGTTGTCTTGGTCGGGACCGCTGGGAGCAGAACCGAACCGCACGGCAGTGGCCAGCTTGCCTGATTGTAGGAGAGGTCTGCGAGAGACTCCCCTCCTGAAACACACAAAATTCGATCTTATTAGTACTTGTCCCGGGTTCAAATCGCACCCCAGCTTGCTTTTTTCCCCTCCAATTTTCCCCACGAATTTCCAAAGATTCGGACCCTGACTCGCCCCGTTCCGCCAGCAACGCCAGCATTCCGATGCCCGGCGGTGCCTGGAGTTCCAGAGATCGCTTCCAGTGTGTCTGGCGCTGCGCTCGCGACGCTCGCGACGCTAGCGATGAGCAAGGACGATACGTTTGCCGAGGAGGCGCGCAAATACTGGGCGTTCGCGGAACCCCGTCAAAGGCAACGGGGCGACGGACAGCACGCGAACGGGACGCCGGGACGTCGGGACGCAGAGGGCGCTTATCTCGGCAGCCACCGAGTAGGCATGCAGTGTGCAGCACAGGGAGCAGGCAACGTTCGCCAAACAGTGACTAACGGGGACGGGCCCCACGGGCACGGCACTTCCGCGGATGCCGCCTCCAAAACCCGACGGACAGGGACCAAGGGCCAGGGAAGTTCATCTGACACAAAACATGTGCAAGGGCCGGCGAAACAACTTCCTTGCTAAGGGAGCCAAGCTCTGAAAACATTCAAGGAGGCCAATCAACGACCAGCTTAAATAAAATAAAAATTAAAAATAATTTTAAAAAATAGTTGAAAATTTTATATAGGAGAAAACGGGTAACTGTTATATGGGGTGTTAAAGCAAGAGTAATGAGTCATGAAAAAAGATTCTGTATAAAATAGAGAATAGCAGATGGCAACCTTTATCAGGCAGGTACTTCTGTTGGAGATAAGAGGAGAGCCAGAGTCATGGATGCAATAAATGCCGTTTTTCAGACTGTCATAAAGCTAACATTGCTACTTTAATGCAAAGAAGCAATTCGTTGTGGACAGTAGTAACAAAATGTATAGAATTGGTTCAGCCCCCTTATGACACATCTCTTAGATTGTAAGCCACTCCTTGGACATAGGTAAGTCATGGTCTGAGAGAATTTTCCCCATGTTAATCTAAAATTGGAACATATGTGAAGCGCCTGCGGAGCACTTAACCAAACACAGTTGCCAGAACCTTGACAGATGGCTCGTAAAGAGGTTATCTCAGCGGACACCAGAATTTAATTGATGGATCAATAAATGAAAAGCATTCAATAGATAAGAAACTCCTATGATTCGAAATATACAACATCCAAGGGAGTGCAAACATGAAAAGTTGCCCTTTTCTCAGTAACTGATAGGGCTTGAATGTCAAAGGGCACAGAAAATGAAATAACCTACAGGAGAGTAACAGGCAACTGCTTCGCAAATTCACGAGGAAAAAACAGACTCTACCATGGATTGTCTCGAGAATTTGACAGCTCATCAGAGAGTCAACACAGTTCCTTTTGTTTGCTCTGTGAGCTGACGTCCTGTCCCCAACGGTTAGCCTTGATGGTTAATCGTCTCCAAACGTCCAAATCTCTGATAGAATAACACAACTTCACCAAGACACTGTCATCAAACTAGTCTTTCGACACCAGACAACACATAACGGACAGCTAAATTTTTATTCTCTCACCTTTAAACATTAAATGACATAAGAATAATCAATCAAAACTTAAACTTTGCTCTTCAAACTTGAAAGCACGCAACACTCCACTCCGACATTTTATTGCACTGCCCTGTTGGGAAATAACGGCCTCAGCGTCACGGGGGAGGGGGGGAAATCGAAAACTATCGAAATGACCTCATCGGCTGCTTCTAGGGGATTAAGAGTTCAGACTGACAGAGACGAACATTGATAGCAATAGTTTTAAGCACTTTCTTAGTGCAGTGACATTCACCTGACATTTCGCTATTTCTTTCTCGCGGCTAGCTGGAATTTGCTGTGCGCGACTGTACAGCAGTCACGGGGGCGTGACGTCAGGCCGCTCCGCCTGCTGAAAGCGTCTGCTGTTTTATTAGTAATCAAAGTCCCAGGGGAGACAGCGGTCAGCTTGTAGCCTACCGCTGCTCTATGTTAAGATTGAAAAATCCCTTGCATGGGTCTTGGTTGAGAAAAGTCGAGTGTTTTCCCTCAAAGAATGAATTTCTGGTTACAAGAATGAGCAACTCGTGATGTGTAGGTGAGTGGCGGAACTGTTTCGCCGGCGAGACGCAAGTCGCGTCCCTTGTCTGCTCGCCTTGGGCCCTGCGTCGCACCGATTCCACCCAATCTCTGTTAGCTTTCAACAAGCATTTATATCTTTTTGTTCGTATCCGCGTAGATCTCCATTTTCCCCAATTTCTGTTTCCTTCCTTACCCGTTCTTACGACCCTAATCGTTTCGGACAGGGGTCACAGACCCCTCTCTTTTAGGGTTCACCCCCTTGGGAGTAGAAAAACTTCATCTTTGTCTTGTCAAGGAATGCTTTCTCTCCTCCCTCTGCTGGTCAAAAAAAATGTAGGTTTGCAATGTATTTTCAAATTACTTAATTTTCTGATTGCAGGTGAAAGATGGCCCCCGATCCGCAGTTTTGTCTCCGATGGAACAACTTTCAAAGCAATATCACCTCGCAGTTCGAAACCCTCAGACAAGATGAGGACTTTGTCGATGTCACACTGACCTGTGATGGGAAAAGTGTTAAAGCGCACAAAGTAGTATTGTCTGCCTGCAGTCCATACTTCAAAGAATTATTCAAGGTACGGAAGCTCATCGAACTTAAATTGCATCTTGGATTTATCTGTGTGCTTTTCTCAGTTGATTGATCATTTTTGTGTTTCATTCCAGAACAACCCATGTAAACATCCAATTATAATTTTAAAGGATGTGCAATGGTTTCACTTATGTGCCTTAGTGGAATTCATGTATGCTGGTGTAGTAAATGTTGCCCAAACAGAGTTACCAGCTTTTCTGCAGACTGCAGAATCTCTTCACATTTTAGGCTTGACAGATGCACCACGGCTGCACAAAGATGGAAAACAAGTTAAGGTAACTAAATCTATTTGATGGAGGGAAAAGTTTCTATATTCCTAACTGTTGTATCCAAATATATTAAATTTCCTTTGCCTTAGGATCCATCAAAAAGAGCTTCAGCAAGCGTAGCCTCTTCCTCAGGAACCTCTTCTGCAGCAAACCCCACCAACACTGACGCAGGTATGGAAATAAACTAGATTTTTTTAAATTGTCCATTTAGTTAATGGAGTAGGGTAATCTGTAATGATTTATTGTGTCTGTGTCAAGGAGAAGATGATGAAGGTGACGGTCAGAGTGGGAGTCCGTCAGCAAGTCCTCCCCCACCGAAACGAATTCGTAAAAACGAACTATTAGATGACAGAACTCATGACTCCTCTGACGGCCAAAACAGTCTCAATGGTCAAGGAAATGAGCCCTTGGAAGAAGCAGCGGATCATGCCTCATCAGTGCTTCTCCAGCAGTCCCGATCTGCCTTGACCATTACACCTTCTCAGCAACAGCATGAAATTGATCAGGCATACAACGATGATTTGGCTGAAATGTTGGAGGTAATTAGAAAACTTCATCATGAACATTTTGCATGTCTTTTTCCTTGTGCAATTTTCAATCTAATTTCTTTTCTTCCTCAGCCCAAAACAGAGCTTCCAGATTATAATAGTGACGGTGAAACTCGAGGTGATGCCAATGCCTATCTTGACCAATCATCATATCCTGGAATGTCAGGTAAGATACCGACAGGAATTTTTTTTTTGAAATTTCCAACAGAAAAGGATGTTTTTATTAATTAACTTGGGTGATTTCATTTTTAGATATGATGGCAGGACCTTCAACGCAAGGGACTTCAGATGGAACAGTAACAGAGACTGACCCAGGTGAGTGACATATTGTGTGTGGGTTTTTTTTCTTTTTGTTTCTTTTCCTTATGGGTCCATGCAGAGAGTGCAGTTTGTTCATCAGATTTTTTTTATCATTTGTGACCAAATTAAAAATTAATATGTGCATTTTTAATTGCCTTGCTTTTAGTATTAATACTGGTGGCAAAGTTTGGCTTCACACCACTAATAAATAATAATAACAATAATAATGAAACATTGGTGATGAACCTATAGTAATATTTCTCCAAATGACTCCATCAAAGTTGAGAAGCTAATAGAATGCACGACCCTGCCTAAATTTAAAAGTTGAAAAGCAGAGCAGCTTGCACGGCTCCGTACAGCACGTGTTGTGTGTGTTGCAGCGGCCCTGCGCAAGCTGCACTCTCTGGACCCGCGGCCATGCCCCATCTGCCAGCGCATGTACAGCAACCTGTCCAATCTGCGACAACACATGCGCCTCATCCACATACCCCAGAGTGTGGAGTGTCCTCTGTGCAGTCGATCCTTCAAGACCAAGCTGTACTTGCGCCGACACCTTCTCTCTTACCATGAAATGCTTTCCAAGCAGCCGAAGCCACCCGCTACTCAACCCACTACCGCCTCACAACAGCAGCCCTCTCAGCTTTACATTTCCCCAGTAGCTTCCAACATGCCTCCACCTTCCCAGCCCTACTACACTGTAGAGGAAGAATTAAAAAGAACGTACCTGCAATCGCCGCACAAAAGCCGCAGTCATAACTCAGCACAGGGCATTGATATAAAGCAGGATAAGGATGTTGGGGACGGCACCCTACCTCATGCGCCTAACGTGACATCGGGATCCATGCGAGAGCAGCAGCAGCCCCAACACCCTCAACAGCAACAACAGCATGCACAAACACAGTCACAGCCACAGCAGCAGACTTCACAGCTGTCTCAGTCTCAATCTGCTGCTGCATCGTCTTTCCCTTTCCCCACTAACCTACTTTATGGTGCCAGTGGAGCTGGAAATTCAGCAGGTTCCTTGTCTAGAGATTACATGCGATCTGTTGGCTTTAATCCCGAAGCTGCTCACCAGTTACATCACCCATCACACCCACCTCATGCCTTTTCTACATCTGCTCCTAATCGTCTTGGTTACCACAACACACCGTACTCAAGCAACTCTTAGTGTGTTGCTAGATCTAAAAGACTGTTTCTAGTTTAGGTATTGTCATTAATGCTCATGTACATATTTTGCTTGTGAAATTTTTGTTGTTGAGTTACCGTTTTGGTTTAGAATTATCTCTTAAATTGTTTTAATTGTGGTATCATGCCTGTTGTTGTTGTCTTATTTCTTGAAGAAACAAAAGTTATTTAAAATTATTGCTTGCTTTTTATGTGAGTTACCCGTCCATGTAGCATCACATTGCTACAAAGTGTGACCTTTCTCATTCAAAATTCATCTTGGTGTTTTTTTTTTTAACTTAGAAATCTGAACAGTTTAAGTTTGTTAAAGTACTAGATGTGGGGTGGTAATTTTATGATTTCTTACCTCTGTAACTAGCATCACTACTTTGCCATAGACATGTGTGAAGGCCCCATTGGTAGCTTTGATTTGCTTGCCAAATTTTATGAGTATCTTCTGTGTTTCAAGGAGTACTAAAGCTTTTTCCAAAAACAAAAATAAATAAAAAGATAATTATGATAAGAAGAATTACCGCCATATATTGAGTTATGTGAATTGTTTGGTGGGTGACAGTTGAGACTGGGATCAAAATCACACCTGCGCAAAAACGTGATATTTTTGTTTTAGCCCTAAGCTACTGTTACATTGTCATCATTAGATATTACATTCATTGTTGGTTTCTCTTTTCAATTTAAAAGATTAAAAATGATTTCTTTAACATTCTGGTTTATTTTTGGAATGCTGTGTAACACAGTTTTTAAAAGTTCCTACCCTCACCACTTGATTTCCTTGAAAAGGACTACATACCATGTTCTTTGACATTTATTTCTAAAAATGGTTTTCTGTTCCAGCCTATTTCCAAGAGATTTTTCAAGGTGCCCGTTTTCAGGAGGTCGAATCAGGTAAAGACCATACGCTTATTCTAAAGCATTTCTCTATTATAATGACAAATCTGCCCTGTGACTCACAATCAACTTGATTTTTGTCCAGTCTGGACCCCACCCCCAAGAAGAAGGAGGCCATATCCTAGCCAGTGCGTTAATGGACCCATGGTAAAGATCATTTAATTTTGCCTCTACCTCTGCTTGAATATTGCATTCCTTAAATGTTGATAATTTCTGTATGGTTAGGTGACCCTTGGACCGGGTGTGGAAGTGTCAGCAGCGCAACTGGAGTCATTAAAGTGGTCAGATTATCGGAAACTAACAAGAGGACTAGCTGGACTAGTTTTTACTCCGTTGGAATTAGCAACGCGCTCCGTCACAGGCCAGCGGTGGAGCAGGGCAAATACATATGGACCTGATGCTGCTAATCGGAAAGTGAAGCCAGCTCTCGACAATGCCAAAGTCAACGCTATCCTTTGTACGTCACGTCAGTTTTCTTTCAAATATGATTGTGACTGTGAGAGATATGGATGTTTTATCTTTTGCCTTTTCCCTTTAATTTCAGATCATGTGAAGAGTATTTTTCCAGAAGTTGAAGTAGCTCGGATCAAGCAAGTGCTTGCTTATAAGTGTCAAGAGTCTTCAGTGGCTCTTAAACTTAAAGCAGGTATCTTCCAAAATGTCCGTAATCTCCCTGAACTGCAAAACCCATCAGTGCATCAACATGACCACCACATGAATCAAGGCCATCAAATGATGGGAATGCAGAGCCACCAAGGGGCACCTACATAAACCACAGAAAGAAACAGAAATGCAAGAAAGCAAGGTTCATTTCTATGTAATTTTTTTTCTTTTCTTTTTTTGTTTTTCTTGTGACTTTTCCACTAAATACTTGAAAAGACAATACTCAATACAGGCCAAGTACTTACACTGCCCATTGGAAACAATTGGTTCTGCACACCTATTTATGATTGTCAATTGTTCGCTTGATGCTACTTTAATTAAACACAAACTTGCATTTTCTTAGTGGCTTTTCCACCTTTCTTAAGTTTTTCTTGGTGTAAGGAAGATTTTTTTATGGCTCTTTCAAACCGAGTGGTAGTTAAATTTTAACTATTAGTGTATTTTGCAATTCTAATTTTTTCCCTAATGAGGATAAATTGTATGGTATTGGTACTTATGTGCAAACACAATTTTTCCCCATGTTTATCTGTTATGTTGAAAGGGCTTGCAATATTGTTGTATTTAGTATTCAGCTATTTTTTTTATCCTTATTTTCTTGTTTACTTATTGGGTGCTGTACTAGCTGATTTCATAGCGTGTGAACAAAACTTCTTACGGGTTACATACTGAGCATATGTCATCATAAGTAGTGATTCTTAATCCTAGTGTAAAAATGTAGCTTGCCCTTTTCAACGAAATTCTTGTCCTTGAGTATTATGGTACATTTTTCTGTGTGTTTCACTAGTTAGGATTGTTTTCATTATTTCATTAATTTAGTAATTATGTCATGCCCAAAGAATTCAAACTTTTTGTCATGTGAGATACATGTCAAAATAACAAGCCTTGTAATGCAATTTAACCAGCCAATCATTGTGATATTTGCTATAGGTAGTGGATTAGGGTCTGTGAGGTTTCTGCTCTTGGAGGTCAAATGTATGAGGTAAAGAACTGTTCTTTCAGAAACCAATTCAAAGTCAATCAGTATTTTTAAGTGACACTGCTAGGATATTGTCCAGTTGCAGGCAGTCGACTTTGTTCAACGATTATGCTTAAGTGAAATGTGGTTTTTAAACTTGGGCAAGTTTTCCTTTTCCCATACTAATCTTAGATTGGACGAGTGGTTTAGGCGGTGGTGTCGCCCCGGCCGTGCCCGGCTGCCTCTCGGCTGCCTAGCCCTGGGACGGCCTGGACGGCCTGGACGCCACACGTGGACTGTGATATTGGCGACCCTGTGTCGATGTCGAGCATGTCGCACCTCGGGCTGGTGGAGCACGCCTCGGGGGTTGGATGTAGACTGTCTCCAAAATAAAGCTTCTTTCTCATCGAACGTTCATTTTCACTTGCTGTAGGCCTCGTGATCCAAGCCAATAAGGTAAAAAGGAAAGGAGACAAAACAAAAGGCTGTTTCAATTGAGGCAATTTCTTTGTTTATTCACAAAGAATCATCTGCATAGTTTGTTGCGTACACATCCAAGTGATGAATTAGGCTTCTCTTGCGAAACAAGGCTCCAGAACAAGGAAGACACCACACACAATAAATAATATTTACATACATACACACACATACATGCATTCACACAAATTTTCACAATGAACAGTCACACTTCTTTCCTAAACAAGCACTCAGTTCATGTCTACAGCATTGAAATTTGCATTTGCAAAAATACATTTGAGTGATGATGCATCCATAGTGACACTAGGGCACAATCCCAAATCAACGAAAACGTGACAGGCCTACATTAGAAGCAGTAACATTCACACGTTGTTTCAAAACAGGATTGTGCACCAGTGTCACCGCACATGACTTGACTCCAGCTCCCCCCTGAGAAAGTATCAGAAGTTACTAAGTTTTGATTAAATTTCCTGTTTTGAAATGATTTACAGCTGCCATATTTATCCGAATACAGTCTCCCATAAATCAAACAAAAAAATGTCTCCAAAGTAGGAGGGGGTACTATTTGAAGATCCTAATTTACAAAGGTTTGAACAGACATTACTTTGTTTGTTTTCTTCTGATGTACTAACCCAATTCTATCCTAGTGAGAAGGGGGTGAGGACTAAATTCGGCTAAATACAGTAGAGCAATGGCTATGATTAAGCCAAATATAAATGATATAAATTTGCCATAATACTTTAGTAAACAATTCACGCAATAAGACAAGGACACCTCCATTCCACAAATAAACAAATGGTAGATCAACAGACGATAATACAAACAAAAATAATCACTATAAATCAAGATAATAAATAAAAATGAAACAAAGAAAATTAACCTTAGCTGGTTTTCGTGGAAAACAGTAAATCAATCTACTTACAGAGAAAACCAATAAGTATTAAAGACATTTCAATTCAGAATGAATTTTAAAAAAAAGAATAACATTTGAATAGCACTTTCAAATTCAACAATTTATAGAAGAAATTAGAAAATAACAGAAAAAAGTAATCTGAAGAGTTTTTCATTGCACGGGAATAAAGACTAGCTATAAGATATCACTAAGGCAAGGAGAATTTGTTAAGTAGCAAGATGAGAATATCAGTGCTGTCAACACGGTGAGATATCCTCGCCGTAAAAAAAGGAAAAATACTTCTAGCATGTATCTTTCCGCTATAATGCCTAAAAAATGCGTTCTGGGAAACTAAAATGAACACCAATAGGCATGGCTAGTAAGAAGCATGTGCACCATCATGCTTTTGATTTGAGTTAATGTTCCAACACAGACATTGTATTGCATTGCTTCATGCACATTTTTCACTATGTTGAACAACTTGGCTTTACATTATAAGTACGACACACTAATGGACACAGGTAATATTTGAATAAAATTAACATAACACAGAAAACACACATATTAAGCCTTAAGGCTACTACTCGCATTCTACCAGAATACTGTCATAATTACATGTAATAGGTAATAAAAACAGAGCCTATAAGACTATGAGCTAGTAGCCAAGTTGTTCACTTTTGGGTAGTTTTAAAATGAATAAAATGGCTTTTGTGCAGATAAGGGTCATTATTTAGTAGACAACTGGATGAAACAATAACTTGATAGAGAGAGAAAAAAATGAGTGTAGGACATGGAGTGGAATGACTTAACTCTTCTTCCTCGTTGTATCTTCCACTTAGAACCTTAGATAATTCACACCAGAGTAGGTTCCCAAAGCCTTCTGCCTTAGCCTAGAAATTTTCAATCATGACTTCATTTAAAAGTATAAGTGCTGTATGATACAGTGCATCATAAACAATGCAAAAAGAATAAATCTCAAAAAGTGATAAAACACCTTAATTTTAAAACACCAATAAGTAGGTTGTAGCTAAAAACAAATTTTCATTTCTCATTTACAAAAAGGTGGGAGAAGTCACACAACCTGAATAAAACCTGTAGAGAACAGAATTATCAACTGTTAATAGATCATAACTTTAACTCTAAATCTTGCCACACTGACTGTAAACTAGGTGAGGGCACGATTACAAAAATAGTTACACTTGGCTTCCATACTTTAACAAAACAATGGTTCCTAATCAGTCGAAATGAGACTATGTCAACTTAAAATCTAATTTGAGGGAGGATGGAAAAACAAGAGGAAAGGACAGTTGGTTGTCTGGCCCACAAATTATCAACAAAAAGATGGTGAGAACGACAACCAAACAAGAAGTAATCATAAAATAAACATTTTGGGTAAAATTGGTTTCCAAGATGAAGGGTTACTTATACCTGAAGTACAAAATTAAAATTATTTTTTCATGTTTTTCTTTTTTGAAGACGTGAATGTCTAAGCAAGCTATTGTACACATCCGCTTACATGGTTATTGCATGCAAAGAGAATGCAGGTGCTTGACAAAGCATTACAGGGACAATGCCTGTAGCTCCTACGCCAAATGGGTGAAGCATTGTGTTGAGTAAATAAAACCCTGCTGTTGCAGAACAAACAGCCTCTTCTCAACAGCATCTTTGTCTGAAAACAACAAATGATAAGGTTAAAATATTTCACAGATGGATGTGAGCAGAGAACATAGATAGATAAAAAACTCACATTTAGTAAGCAATGCCCTGTCTTGCTGATGATGCACTTGTTGCGATAGGGAATGCAGAAGGATTTGGGCTGTTTGATACCTCTGGAAACAATCTTCCGGATTGCCAAACAATTCATCCAAAGCCGCTGACTGGCACTGCAAACAATCAATGGTAAATATAGATTTTCTGTTAACATTGAGTAACGACCCACATTAACCTCATTAAAAATAGTCCCCGTGATTTACCATTTGAATGGCATGATTGTAAAGTATCTTGTCAGCTGCTATATTTGTAGTAGCTGGGTCTACACCCGCTTTTTGGAGCAGCCCGGGGGTGTTCAACTGCTTGCAGTCAGCCAGACACTGACGAAACTTTTGGTTCATTATACCAACAACTGAAAGTTAAAAAGTGCATTAGTAAAAGCACAGATAAAAAAAAAACAACACAAAATTGTTGAAGCTGAAAGACATACAATGAATTTAAGATTCACATAAATAACTTACCACTTTTGACAGAGGAAGATGGTTGAAGGTGCCCTGCTCTTATTTGTTGAGTTGCAAGACTCAAACCAGAGCTCAGAAGTTGCAGGGCTCGGACTAAAAGCACAAGCTGCTCTGCTCGACGAGCGCCCTCCGAAATCACGCCATTTCCAGTTATGTTTGATGAACCGTTAGGAGAACCCCCGCCTCCCAGATTAACACTCTCTGTCAAAGCAGCCAGAGGCGTTCCTCTGGAACCAGCTAGTTCCAGTACACAATCTGACAATGCCAAAACAAAGTGAAGTTTGGCAAGGGTTTCATTGTGTTCACGCTGAAAAATAATTAAAGGGCGTTAATAAAACCAAAACCAAACACGGGCAGGAGGAAATAATAGGTATAAACATAATAGTTTTTCTTCTAAAATAAGACATAAATTGCTTACCTCCAGTAAGGTTTCTTCAGGTAGTTCAGGAGCAAGAAATGTTAAAGGAGCATCAATGTTTGAGGGCTGATTTGCGTCCTGGAATAATCTTTGGAAATTGCCAGCCTCTGCAAGAGAAGAGTCAAGTAAGTAAAATTATGACATCACTAGGGAAATAATGCGTCACCTGTTCCTAAAACGACTTACCAGATATCTCTGGGAGGGTCATAGCTCTGGATCCAAATGGCATCAGAGGGGACTGTCGCATGTTATTATTTTCAGACATCCTGTTTGGAGAGCCGAGTATTGATGGCAGAACTGCCAGTGGTCCAGAAAGTAAAGGGGAGCTGGCTCCAGATCTCCGCAAGGGTGAGCTGGTAGGAGTGACTTGCCAGGTGCTGACTGGTGGAGGGGTCTCACACGAGCTGCCTGATGCAGACCTTCTACGCTGACCACAGCCACCATTGGGAGGTGTGCCAATCATGAATTGAACCTACAAAAATAAAAATTACATTTCAATGTTTTATTCTGATAGACAGCGCTTCAACCCAGAATGTTGCCGCAGGTATTAAACTTACAGCAGGGGGAGAAAGTGAACTCAAGTCAGGTGTGGCGTTGGCGGCTCGTTGATCTGAAGCTCGTCTCATGTTTATCGGTTGAGAACGTGGCACTGAGCCCTGTAATTGACAGGACATCACATTAATATTTTGGCCTAAAATAAAACACTTTCAATTGTAAAAGTCAATTTTGACAGCCTACCTTGGAGGGTTCGTTGTCTTGGGAGTGAATGGATTGCCTCTGCTGGAAAGCATCACGGTGAGTGGGAACAGGGATAGGCTCCGAAATGGGTAGGAAACTGGGCCTTGGAGGGCTTGCAGCTGAGGCGCTGGATGTTCTCGTCCTAGACCTGTTACAGGAGTGTACTGTGAAAAACTTGTTCAGACAAAACTCAAATGGTACACAAATTTAGGAAAAACTTACGGCCTTTCAGGATTGCTGTCACTCGAGTGGTCGGATGGTATGTTAGCTGGCACTAGAACAAAATCATCAGTGTCCTCAGGACTTGAACTACTTCCATGTTGACGGCCTGACACAGGAGATCCTGCGAGAGAAGTGGCCAGCTGTAGTACGATATCGGCACTAACAATCATAAGTGGATAAAAACGGATCAGCAAAAGAGAACATACCAGGTTGAGATCCACACGTATCTAAACGTGCCTTGTGAGTTGGACTCTGCGTAGCAGGCGGTTGGAAAAGCGCACGTGGTGAAGGGGGAAGTTCACCTACAAACAAAAACCAACAAATGTCTCAATTCCTTGTCACAGAATTAACATGTGATATTAGTATGCATGCATGTCGGGCCAACTTACCAGGCATTGGTGGAGCAGGTGTAGGTTCAGCTTCACGCTGCAGGAAAGGGTGGGTGAAGAAAGAGTCAAAAGTCATACGCTCCCGTGCATTCCTTCTCAGGAGGCCAAGTAAGAGGTCCCGTAGCTCAGGAGATGTTCCTGCTGGAATTCTGGTTTCAAGAAAACACAAAGAATTAATTTTTTTTGAACAACAGTTTGATGAAGAATTGGGTAAGTAAATCTTTTGACTTACTTTGGGGATAGATTGGCATTCTTCTCATAGAAATTCTTAAGCGCTTGAGGAGTCTGAGCTTGAAATGGCGCCTTCCCTGTCAAGCACTGGAAAACAATGGTTCCCAAGCTCCATAAATCTGCTTTTGCATCATACTGGAGAGACATTATCACCTCAGGAGCCTGGAAGAGGACATAACATTCAGTTAAATACTAATAACATGATCAACAATTTAGAACACAGTTGTTGCAGTTGATGAGGAGAACTACACACCATGTACATTGGTGAGCCACATAGTGTGGCAGCCATGACACCGTCTTGTAAAAATCTTGCAAAGCCAAAGTCAGCTAAAAAGGTAGAATGACATCATTAGCTTAAGAGCAACACATACACAAGAAAGAAAATTGTGCAAATAAAAATAAATGTAAAAGTACGCACCAATTTTAAGTCTAATTTCCTGCGGTTGTGGACATGGCTTTCCACCTGAGTGGCTCAAGAGAATATTTTGAGGTTTCAGATCTCGATGCACAATGCCCTTAGCATACAAAGCTTTCATGGCTCCAGCTGCAATGAAACCAATAACATAAGATTTGAAGATCAAAGATGGCAATAAGTACTATACAAAACAAACAATACGCAAATGAACAGTCAACCATACATACCTAGCTGCCGGAGGAAGAGGCGAATAGTGTCCTCACTTAAGGTTCCTTTCACTGAAAATAATGAACACTTGTCAATTCAAAGACCCAGCAGAAATGATAATCGATGCAAATGAAATAAGAAGCATGGTGATCCCCATCTTACCGCTTAGATAATCAGCCAAGTCTCCACCATTGCAATATTCCATAACCAAGAAGACTTGGAGAGGTGATTCTTTGCAGTCCAAAAGTGCCACAACATTTTCATGGTGAAGTTCTGTTAGCTCCTGTAAATTGTGTTAAGTTAGTACAAAAAAGGTCTCCAAAAAGAAACTTGTACACAAAATCCCTGATAAGAATACACCATACCTTCAAAATTTTTATCTCCTTGCCTAAGAGATTTTGTGATTTAGCAAGACTTTTCTTGGAAATACTCTTAATTGCTACAACATAATTAGGATCCTGGAAAAAAAAAGCAAATAAATATATTATAAGACCTCCAAGTTTATCAGTCAAATATACTAAACATAAATAATTCAAAAGACACTCATGATGGAAAAAAATGGGGGGAAAAAACTGAGTGTTCCATCTGAGTGATTTCAGTCCATTTAAAAAAAGGGAGGGGGGGCACCCTTTAAGGCAAATTTAAAGGGCAATGAATGGGGCTACAAAATAGGATGAAAATGCTGATTTCGGCACCATATAATTGGTAATGGCTAACTGAGTGGATATAGAATTATAAGGGTGGAAAAGTGGATCAACAAACACAAATTGTTCACAACTTAATACAATATAAAACATGAAATAATATCAACCTGAGTGAGGCATAAGTCACATATGAATATTGAGTACCAAGAGAGATGATGAAATATTAAGTATTGCTTTCATGACGTTACATGCAATTTGGAGCCATTAGAACCATTTTAAACAATAAAGCCGTCAAATAGGCTTATTCGTCAAAGAAATGGGTGAAAGATGCACTCATAGCTAACCTCCTCTAGCCTACCTTAGGCAAGAAAACGGGGAAGCAATCCCGTTTTAACGGGAATTTGGGTCCCAAACAAATTAAAAACTGAATCTGGGCTGAAAACACCAGTTGGCGAACAGGGGAGAGCCTCGAGTTGCAGAAAAGCAGAGGGGAAGCCACTGATGCTGGACTGATGCTACAATAACTACCTTGCGTTTGCGACCTTTGAAAACGACGGCGAACGCGCCGTGCCCAATCAGGTCTTTGCTGTTGTACTCGTAGTCTCCGACGATCTCCATGGTGGTTGTTTCAAATCAATTCACATATTTCACAACACTATAATGCATTGCAAGACTTCTTTGTCTTGCACACTTCTTCAAGGATCAATAGCCCCAAATACACAACACTTTAACAACAACGCATTCTCCACTGCGTTAGGTACTATTTTTCAAGAATCACAGCACGGGTAGAAACGTTATCACTTTTTCTTCTCTTCACTTGACTGACAAATTCAACTTTTACCACAAATGAGCTCTATAACAGCCTCATTTTGATACAACTTAGACTACGCTACACACAGCCAGCCATCATGTCTGCAACTGAACTCTTCTCAGCTGTTTGGCAGCAGCAGCGAGCAAAGTTGTGGCCGGTCGTTTCGCTGCCAACCTACGGGCACAAAACTTTTCGAGATTTGCGCTTCGCGGATGGCTCTAGACCTCTTTGAAAGAGCCAAAGTAGGACGATAGGCACCCTATACGGTAAAAACACAGCGAGGGAACTAAAATAACTTAGATTCCGATCGCTTTAGAGTCTCGCTCCGTCCAGTCAGGTTGGTACGAGAAGCGGCGACGGGCCTCTGCGAACTTTGCCAGCAAACGAGTCCCAAACTTTGCGTTCTATTTGTGTTTGTGTCCCGTCTTTCTCACGGTGTAAGTGACAGTACTGGCCGCGGCGTTTTGAATTCTATCGAGATCCTTCCATCCCGCAACCCTTGTTTCGGGCCGCAACGGGCCCACTGTCTCTGCAAAATGGTTATGGCATCACCACCACTGAAACTGAAGAAATTCATGCCAAAATCATTAGTTTCCAAGAGAATTTTCTGTGATTTTTCCATATCAACAATGCCTAGACTTCGTTAAAAATTTTAGCGTCCGCACCTCAAGAACAAACAGAGAAGAAAGAATGCTGATACCAGCTGATTCAAGGCCCCTGCAAGTCGGCGGGTAGGCAACCCGCCACGCTGGTCTGTCTTGCACACAGCAGCGTGGCCTAGCTGCCAGGCGCCTTCCTTGACTTAAGGCCGGCCGCGGAAAATAGCCACCGATGACCCGAAGGTGGCCGAAGGTGGCCGAAGGCCGAGGGACGTGGCAAAGCCGAAGGGTGACCTAAGGCGTGGGAATAGACCGAATGGGTACCCGGCCCGACCCCGGCAAGGACGGCCAGCCCGAAGGCAGTCCGAGGGGGAGGGAGGGGGAGGGAGCGTCAGCACCGGCCCGGCTGGCCCGCGTCTTCGTTAGTCTTCTTCGGCTTCTTCGGCTTGGCCAGGCTTCAGCACAGGCTTTGGCGCGAGAAGAAAGTCGAAGGAATCGAGAGTCTCGCTGTTGACCTCGGACACCACTTTGCGCGACTTTACGTTATGGCCGGGGCCGTAACCCGAAGACGCGCGCCGCCCAGACGAGTGGGTGCTGCCAGCACTTACAGTGCCGAGTGTTACGGTGTGCCGCCGCCGTTCCTTGCAGGCTCCGTCGCACTCACGGGGAGCGAGCGAGACAGAGCCCCGAAATCAGTCCCCAGGCAAGGACCAGGGCGGGCCGCCCCAAGCAAAGCCGCTGCCGGCGCGCACGCGACACACACGTGGACGTCACCCAGATAAGGACAAGTTTGGTTATCTCTGTCTGATTCTTTGACTGCAGGCATGCCTCCGACTGTATCGGTCTGTCTCCGTCTGCGAGTCTGCGACGCGGAAGCAGCGAAGCAGCGGCACTGCCGAGGCACTGCGATCCGTGGGCGAGGTGGCTGCCCTGCCGTAACCTGCGCCTGACCTCGACACCTCGAGTCTCGACGGTCTCGACGGTCTCGACGGCGGGCGGAGAGCGCGGAGAGCGCGGAGAGCGCGGAGAGCAGTGCCGGGAGAGAGACGGTGAAAAACGGGGCGGACTCATGCACCCATGCCCATGCAGCGCGGTCGCGGCGCCGAGACAAGACAGACAGAGACAAAAAGAGAGAGAAAAGGCTTCACAATGCTGGCTGCACCTACAGCCAGCACCGCGCCGACGACCAGCAGCGGCCACTTCAGCATCTCCACTGCCGTTTGTTTTGGCGCCGACTGTACACCCCGTGTGTTTTGGCGCCCACGGCACCTCTCGTGTAGCGCCGTGCCCGCCGCTCGGGCTGGATCACACTAGGACGGAGCGAGGTGCGATAATTTTTCTAAATAAAGTGAAGGGGGAGGGGGACGGCCAGGCCTTGGTTAGGCCGGGCTGGGCCCGCGACAGCACACGTGCGTCGTCTGGTGTCTATTACCAACTCTAGTTGAGGCAGGGGCGAACTTCCCCTTCCCATGTGTTGCCGTCGGCACACAGCCTGCCCTTCAGGGACGGCTCGTCGGGGCCGCAAAGGGACGAACTGAACCGGAAGACTTAAGAAAAATCTCCCCATCGATCTGTCTTCGTCTGTGCTCCTGGGGCGCGCCGCAGGTCCGCAGGGGTGCGAGAGAGACAGAGCGTTTGGGCTGTGGATTGGGGTTCCTCCTGGTTCTGCATGTCGGCGTCTTGACGGCGTGACAGTGCGACACCGCGAGTGAGCGGCGAGCCGGTTGTTGACACCGCCAGCACAGCCAGCCTGGCCTGCATACGGCACGACGTTTGCGTTATCGCCGGGGAAAACAGCAATTGAAACCCACACGCGAGAGAGAGAGAGAGAGAGGGGGGGGGACTGCCTTTTCGCGGCACGCGCCTTCCTCCCGCGTCGAGGTGTTCGCTGTTGTTGTTGTTGTGGTGGTGGTCACTTCGCGCGCTGTTTTCAAGGAGCCACGTGGTCCGCCTCCGCCGCGACGACGACGCAGAGGCCCGCGACGCGTCACCCGATCCGTCCAGTCAATCAATAGCGTCTTAATTCTTTATCTGCGACTCTGTGAGTCAGGCGAGTCGGGCCGGCCCCCTTGCCGGTAGCGCGAAGCCGAAGGAAGGCGCGCACAACAACGCCGCGCCGCCGCGCCCCGCCCTAGAGCGAGGGCCTTGCGCAACGCCGCAACGCCACACGCCTCGCCAGGGCGATGTAATTATTATTATGGTGGATAAATATTATGCGCGTAATGTGGGCCATACCTACCACGGAGTCTGCGCTGCACGTATGTGTGCGTGTGTGCTGTCTGTCTGTCCACACACCTCAAGGGGCTTAAAGCCCGCACGCTCCATAAAACAAAAGTCAACACAGTCCTACATCACCCCAGTCAAATGCCCCCCTCCCCCAATAAGAATATTTGATAATCTACACTGTCTGCGTCTGTTTGACATTCCGAAAAACGGAAAGCTCCCCTCAGAGACACTGCTCATTTTCCCATTTTTCCCTTCTTTGCTCTGATGATCTGTCCCGCTCTTTCTCTTTGTTGTGGTGGTCGCCTTGGCGCGCCTTGGCGTTGTTGGCCGCGTCTTTTTGTCCGTTTGTGGCGACGGAGTGACGGAGAGACGGGCCGACGGAGTGACGGAGGCGGCAGCGCAACAACACTGCACGTGTCCATCCATGAAAGCTTCGATCCGTTTTTTCTTTCTTCTTTTCAGTCGCGCGGCCAGGCCAGGCCGGCCAGGCAGGCCCGCCCCGCGCTGCTGACGTCAGTCTGATTGCTGAGCAATGAGTTCGGCAGGTCTGCCCTGAAGACTGACTCCGAGAGTCGTTTTCGTCGGCCTGTCTCTCTCGCACCTCTACGGGACGCCCCATGAGTGCGAGAGAGACATAGCGACGAGTCTCGGAATGAGTCCGCTGTCGGTGGCAGGGCGGGGCTAGGCGGGGCTAGAGCGCGGCTAGCAGCGCTAGCGGTGTGCTGTACGCTGTGTGCTGTACAGTGCGGAAAGCCAAGTGAAGCCAAGCCTGGCCGGCTGGTCTCTGAGTCTCTGCGAGGGGCCTGGAGCGGAGCGGAGCCGAGCGAAGCGGTCCCTACGGCTGTGTCTTCCTACCATTTCCATACAAGGCGGTGATTGGGGGGGGGGGCCTCCGACCACGTCCGCGGCGGACACACACACACACACACACACAAACGCACTTACAAAACGCATTGACGCAGGCACGTGCTTCAGGTGAAACAAAGTAAAGTGGGATGGCGGCAGAGGAACCCCCGCCGCTGTCAATGAGCGCCTTGTCCGCGACTAGCCATCAGCCTAGCCGAGCAGAGGCGTGCCAGACCTCGGCCCAAGTTTACAAACACTCCAACCGCGCCAAAGCCAACACGCTCGCCTTCACTTCCGATGATTATCCTCTGCGTTTGAAAACCGCCCCGTTGGCGAGTGCCGCTGTGCTGATGCTGCGCACGGTTGGCGAGGAAAAGTGAAACACCACTGCCGCCGCCGGGTATCGAACCCAGAACCCACTCCGGCGGCCAAAGCCAGGAAGGGCCCCAAGGGCCGCACCCTCTTGGCGGCGATTGCGATTGCTTGCGGGGCCCTGCGGGATATGGCGGTCCAAGGCGCCCCTAATCTCTCCGAGGTTGTTGTCCTGTCGTGCAATCACAACAACAACCCGGTTACAAGTACGGGGCTCTACCGGTGCTCCAACCGGCCGAGAACGTCGCCCGTCGTTTCGGAGACACGGGTTCGATCTTTGAAACTCGGGCAGGGAATCATTCGAACGGCCGATTGATTTTCGAAAGAGCAACTGGTTTCCGAAGCGAGTCGTCTTTTTCCCTGTGCAGGGTAAGAGCGGCTTTCCATGCTTGCTTGCGTTGTTAGCGCTGGCTCGTGCTTGCCTGCGCTGCGATGATACTACAGTACAGTACGGATCGAGGTGAACGGAGGTCATACATACTTCATACGGTGGTACAGGCAGGCGAATTTCACTTGGCAATATGTTGGAGAAAAACTTCAGGTGAAAAAAAAAGGAATGAACCGAGATTCGAACTCGGAGGCCCTGGAACCTGCGTGTCACCAGACAAACCCCTCTCGGGACTTTTTTTTTCGTTTCTCAAACATCGGCGCGCTTCCTGGGTCGTTCACTTTGTCCAAATAAATCCACGACGTTCGCTTATGAATGGCGGCCATTGTGATGCACCTGGGCCCCGTACCCACCAGGCGTACCCCATCCTGTTTTTGCTTTTTATTTTCTTGTACTTTCTGCGGTCCGCCCGCCGCGCCGCGCCCCACCCCACCCCGCCCCGCCCCGCCCCGCCCACCACGCCACTCGGCCCGCAATTTGGTCGCCGCGTTGGCGTGCGTTTGACCCGCCTGAGATAATGACAGGGCGTCCCGTTCCCATCCCACTCTCTCTCTCTCTCTCTCTCTCTCTCTCTCTCTCTCTCTCTCTCTCTCTCTCTCTCTCTCTCTCTCTCCTACCTGCTCCACGTCGTCGTCGTTGTCCCGCCGGAACTTTCTTTGACAAGCGGCAACGAATAGCAGGGACGATGAACAGGA